TATCACTCTCTCTCCTTAGGGATAGGACTCGGGTTTCCACCCTAGAGCCAAGGGGAGAGACCCCCCTTTCCCACACAAAAACCAAATCGCTTTTTCCCTTCCGTTTTTCTCTCTCTCTCTCTCTTACAGAGCTACGTGCTCGACTGACACACCCTCTCTGTGTGTGTGTGTGTGTGTGTGTGTGTGTGTGTGTGTGTATGTGCGCGCGCGCGCACGTGCGTGTGTGTGTATATGTGTATCGGTTGTCCCAACTCTGGTGCAATTCAAGCAAAAGTTCTCGACAGTTACTGTTGCATGATCGATATCACACTTGAAAGTAAGTGAGTTGAAACATGCAGATTACATCTCACATAATGTACAAAAATCTCATCGTCGAATGTCAACAATAGGATGGGATGCAAATTTCCCAGAAACATCCTTGGACGGTATGTAGACTTTAAAAGGGCCTGTCATGTCTGTCAGTGTCCGACAAAGGAAGGGTGAACGACATAGCAGTAAATTTGTGCAAGGCCGAGAACATTGACGCCGTTCAGCCTTCTGAAGAGACCACGTCAAAGACATCAGTACGTCGTAGTCGTCGCCGTCTGAGTGTTGAGCTCCACCTTTCATACTTTTTGTTTACAGAAAATTTGAGACACAATCTCCATTTGAAGGCATGTCATATTTACGTACACAAAGGTATTTTATGTGAACACACCAGGGAACGGATCACAATGTGTCGATCGATTTTGAGGTGCCGTGCCAATAATAGGCCTTTTCATTCATGGAAAGAGTGGTTTGGCGATGAAGTCCACTTCTATCTGAACGGAGACGTGAACCCAAGAAATCACATTTACTGGAGTTCAGATAAAAACCAGACAACGTCGTTTACCGAAACCTGCGCACACAGAATGCTACAGCGTGTGTTGAATCGAGTCAGTACAGAATTAGTGGTTAGGGCTGGTTCATGGTTGAAGACGATGGTGCTGTAACAGTGACAGCAGATCGTTGTCTGAAGATTTTGAATCTGCTGCGAAGATCACAGAGAAAATGTTGTGGGACATCAGGAGCGGAAACATCAGTTGTTCAAGCAAGAAGGAGCAGCTCTGCACACTGCGGCTGTGGCCATTGAGTGACTCATGAGTGGAACCAGAATCACTTCGACAAAAGTCGCGGGATACTTTGTGTCAGAACTTGACGGTATTCCTACCTGAGCCTATGGACTTCCAACCATGGGACTACCTTAGAGACTTAAAGATTAGATGTGTGGTCAGACATTTTCCCTTCTTTGTGAAATGAGGCAAAACATAAAACACCTTGCTCGACAAAATCTGCGAGAGCAGTGCCGGACGGTAATAAATCACGTTTCAACGCCGAGCAAAGGAGACAGTCTCTCGTGACTGCCACCACGCAGAGAACACTCTTTGACAGCCCAGAACTTCTGTACGAATAAAGGTGTCTCTCTTCTATGACTTCGTAAAACTAAATCCACAAGTATAGTCCTCATTTTGCTTAATTAATTTACTGTGCTGTCTACGGCTTTTAAAATGTGAGTACTTGTATGAATTCCGTCATAATTGGGATGCGTTTTACTCTCTCTCTCTCTCTCTCTCTCTCTCTCTCTCTCTCTCTCTCTCTCTCTCTCTCTCTCTCTATCTCTCTCTCTCACACACACACACACACACACACAAACACACAAACACACACACATACGCACATACATGCACACACACATACATACATACACACACATAACCAATTAATGTACATACACACGCACGCACGCACTGTGTGTTGACGTTATCTCGGAATGTCACTGAATGATTCCTCTGATTTGTACTGGTCAAGGGCAGGGACTAAAGATCAATGAAGGTAGTCATGAGAACTTGTTCTGGAATGCTAACTTCAGAAAAAAATGAACCATCAATAGTCTGATAAGTTCCATCAGAAAAATGTGTCAACGTTTAAAAAAAATTCAATTTATCGTGTTCAAGGCAATGGATTTTTTAACTTTGACGTTTTCCAATCTTTTTTCTGAGTTTTTCTCAAAAAGTACTTTTCACTATGGTGACCGCGCGGGGGAAATCGTTTTTGTAAGACTATCAGAGCTACATGCTTGAAATTTGGCACACAGGTGCCGCATAAAAAGTTATGTGATCATAGGCGGGGATTTTGTGAAATACGGATTACTTTTTAAAATATTCCTGATTTTTTCTCATCATACTCGTTTTTTCGGCACTGGTCCAATGATATATCAATATTTTTGTTGTTTTTAATGAAACGAAAAAAGTCAAAGCCTATGATCACAGATAATTTGTTTGTAAATATGTGTGTAAAGTTTGAGGATTGAATTATAATATTTTCTGAGGAAAACGATTTCCCCCGCAACATGACCAAAAATCCAAGATGGCCGCCATA